GCTGGGAAAGAGACACGCAATTTCTCCTAAAGCAAAATTTTAAAAGAGTAGGTTTTAACTTCTAGTCTTCTGCTATTGTGTCACAAATGAAAATGTAAGATAGTTGCTTTCAGTTATACTTAATTTTATTTCAATGTGCAAAATAGAAGCTTCAAAATGATCAAGCGTAAAATACGAATTAAACTAAGAAATGGTCAATCATATTACTTCCAACGCAAGTCACTCTGATTTAAGTCATTATAAAGTGAACGGACAGAACAAGTTGCTTTATTATTTTATGTCATCTCATGAAATCTTTTTTCTTCCAGTAATTAAATCATTGACTTCCGCATGAATTGTCAGAAGCCCTTCCTCTAGGATATATATGTGTATATGTGTGTCTAAAACTTAGTCAGAATATTTCTCCACAATAATCATAGTCAAGAAAAGTTACGCATAAAATGGACGTTTTTGCAATTTGAACTTCGAACATTGTTGCTCCCAACGTAATTAGCAGGTCATTTACACGTACAATAAATAATATACAATTCTTCTTCTACATCCAATATATGTTAGAATAGGATGTATAACATATATATACATCATCTTACCTAAAAAAGAATTCATATTGTCTATATATATACATCTGTAATACAAAACAACACCAACAAAAATATGTATAATTTATAATCCTTTCCTTCTAAGAACAATTTTGCCTTGAGCATCTTCAAGCAATTGAGCCAAGACTTCATCAGGAGGATCTCTCCAAATTCTAGGGTGGTCCAAGTGATGTCCCATTTGAGCAAATTTATCTGCTGCCCTATTTCCCTCCCTATATATGTGACTCACAAAGCAGTTGTTAAACTCTGGAAGAATGGAATTTATGTGACTGATATGTCTTTGTACTTCCATGCATCTAACTTGTCTCCTTTTTACTATGATTTCAACCAATGTTTTGGCATCTCCTTCAAGCCAAATATCATTATTCCAACCATTTTCGAGGACTAATTCCATCCCTCTCCGAAGTGCTTTGAGTTCAGCGATAGTGCTATTGGCTTGTCCTATGGATTC